ATAATAATAATAATAATAATAATAATAATAATAATAATAATAATAATAATAATAATAATAATAATAATAAATATAATATCTATACGATATAAACACATTGAATGAATAATATGTATGTTGGATACACCTATTCTAACTCTAATACGCATATTATATGCACACGAAAGAAAATAATATATATATATATATATATATGCATATATATATATATAGACGCGTATCTATAGGTGTATATAGGTATATATATGCATATATATATATGCATATATATATGCATATACACATATATATATATATATTTATATATTTATATATCTATATATATATATATATATATATATTTATATATTGTAATAAATATCGGTGGTGAGAAGAGCGGTGTTATTACGCAGGCGAAAAACAGCAGAGGACAAAAAACAAAAAAATTAAATTATATTAAAATTAAAATTAATAAATTAAATTGCTTAAATTAAATATAACTCAAATTGTATTAAAAATACCCCAGCTATGAAAAATAGAAGACAAACAAATGCAGAAAAAAACATAAAATTATACACCGCAGATTTAGTGGATGCACAGCAGCAAACAAAGGGCCTTCTAATTATATATATTAAATAAAATAAACAAAAAGTAAAAATAATTAAATATTTCATTTAATTTATTTAAATATTCTCTCTTAATCAAAGAAAACAAATGCATAAAAACTGCAGACACTGCTGCTCAGGAGAGAAGATGCGTAAATACTTTGAAATAGAATAAAACAAGTGAAATAAGTGCATAAAAATGAATTAAAAATAATTATTTATTTAATTAATTTATAATATTTAATTAATTTGCTTAAATATGCTCAAAGATATGCAAAAGAAGATGCAATCAAACGGTCAGGCCACCGGGTGCATGCAGAGGCAGCGAATAACAGAGTAAAATAAACTGCAAAACGGATTTTAAAATAAAGAAATATAAATTAAAATTAAAAAATATTTAATTAAAGGAAAGAAAAGAAAATTCTGCAGCGGTTTCAACGCTGCATAGACCAGCAGCAGCAGCAGCGGCAGATACAGCAGCAGCAGCAGCAGCAGCAGCAACAGCTACAGTCAGCAGCAACAGCAGCAGTAACAGCAACAGCAGTGTCTGTCTGTTGTTTATGCTGTTGTTTTCTTCTTTTTCTCCTTCACAATTAATAATTTAGATTAATTAAATAGATATATTAATTTTGGTCATATATTATAAGGTGTTGCTTAGCATTGGTTCAGTCTCTCTACTTGTTTTATTTTTTAATCTTTTTCTTTTTCTTTTTTTTTTCTTTTTCATCTTCTTCTGTTCTTCTATTGACGCGGATGGTGTGGCGAGACAGGCAGACAAAATGCACACAGTAGTTTATCTCTTTATTTTTTGCTTTTCTCTTCTGTCTTCTTCATTTTGCTGCTGCACGCAAATCGTGCAACTGCTGCAGCCTCAGACCCAAAGAGTTAAATACCTTCACAGCATAGAGCAGCAACAGCAGCAACAGCAGCAGCAGCAACAGCAACAACAGCAGCGTGAAGAAGTGCTGCTGCAGCTGCCAGCTCTCCAAAGCGTCGCCTCTGGGGGTCCTTCAATCCGTTTGCTGCACCCGAAATCTGCTGCAGCTGCAGCAGCTGCAGCAGCAGCAGCAACAGCGCTTGGCGGAGCAGCAGCGGCCCCTCCCAGAGGAGCAGGAGCAGCAGCAGCAACAACAGCAGCAGGAACAACAGGAGAAACAGCAGCAGCAGCTGCACAGGAAGCAAAGCAAGACCAGTGGTTAGCTCAGCGCTTAGCAGACTCTGTTAATTGGAAGCGTCTCGTTCTTGATGCTGCTGCATTTTCTGCTGTCTTGGGAGCAGTGAATGAAATCAACTCCAACACGGGATCGGGATCGGGATCGGGATCGGGATCGGGATCGAGTGTGGGGTTGGTGGATCTGCTGAAGCAGAGCGAAGTGCTAGCAGATAATCTCGATCAGCTTTTAGGTATGCTGCATCGAATAACAAGAGAAGCAGAAGCAGAAGATATCGGCTTAAGCCCTCATGGTGTTAAACTCCTCACCAACACAGAAGAAGTCTTGAGTGCTGCTGGAGCATTAGCAGAAACCCTTGATGAGGCCGTTAGTGGTGAGTGATGATATAAATAAAACTTTCATCGTTTTAAAACATACATGCATGCATGCATGCATGCATGCATGCATGTATGCATGCGTGTATGCATTTTTCTTTTGGTTTGTATTGGGGGCATCGTCGTTGTATCTCTCTGTCTTTATTCTTGATGCGCAGGTTTCTTTGTTTTTTCTGTTGTTTCTCTCTTCTTGTTAGCAAAGAAATGAGAAGGAGTTTGCGTAGACGTATTGTCTAAACCCCTTTTTGTGCTGTTTATCTTCTTCTATTTCTTCTGCTGCAGGTGAGGGCGCCGCTGCAAGCAGAGCAGCAGACGTCTTTCCCTCTGTTGCCTTGCGGCTATCAACTGCCCTTCAAAATTTTAATTCTGATGCAACAGCAAGAAAGCTGGGTGAGGCGATCGGAACGGCCAAGCTGATTCCGCTGCTGCAGCATTCAGGTTTGCATCATTTAGTCCCACCATCTGCAACTAGAGAAGGTTCAAAGAAGGTAGAAACAAGAGGATAAAGAGATAAACATGAGAAAAAGCAAGAAAGAAGAACGGGTATAAAGGCTTCAAGTTATAAGGTTCAGACCTACCGATAAAACCGAAGAAAACAGGAAGACGAAAGAAACGAGGAAAGATGCACGATAAGCATTAAAATGCAGGTTTTTGGTAATATAAAACCAATTAAAACGGTACATAACCACTTAAGTAAAGCTTTCCGAACAATAAATTGAGGAAATATGATAATTCGTATTCAGGATTCAGGTTCTGCAGATTACCCCCAGGTGTACATACACCTCAATGATCGCCGCGGTTCAACAGGAATGCAGGAAACGCAATTAAACTGAGTAGATTATTGAAATTAAACAATTAATTTCATTACATCACCAGTTTAATTCAAATAATTGTTCAATATAATCATGGATTTTGCCTAATTTTATCATCATTTCGCTCTACTTTCCTTCGAAGCCTCCTCCAGCCAGGTTGGGCTGCTGGTGCTGGCTTCCACAGATATGAGGTAAAAAATACATTATTTAAGATATTTGTTTTTTTCTAGAAACATTAATTAATAATTAAATATATTCTACAACTTAATTTCAGAAAATTGTCTTCAATTTAAGCACGCATTCGCTCATGCGGAGCAACCCCTTGACCATTGGGCCGTTTAACTTGCAGTATGTGACCCCAGCAAAAGCAGCAGCAGCAGCAGCAGCAGCTTTATCTCTTTTCTTCC